AACTCAGACACACATAGAATGAGGTGATATGTAGAAAATAAGAGGATAACAGAGCTGGAGAAATGAATCAGTAGTTGAAAGTGATTAGTCTTTAACAGGTTAGGTAGCTTATAACTGCCTAAAACTCCAATTCCAGAGGGTCTGGCTGATGCCCTCTGCTGGACTCTACAGGCATACACACTCACACCCACCCACCCACCCACACTTAAGTAAATCTTTTTGGAAGAAATGGAGAGGGGGAGGGAAGGAGGAAGGAAGAAAATAGCTGCTACAGGAATACCTCAGCATTTAAAAGCTTGGTTCCCAGCACCCACATCAATGAGCTCATAATTGCCTATAACTCAAGTCCCAGGGTATCTAATGTCTATGGCCTCCATGGGTACATGCACTCATATGCACATCCATGCAGATACATACCTACCTGCCTACACATATTTTTAAAACAGAGGACATGAAATATCCTAAGGCTATACATGTAGTCAGAATCAGTGTGAACCTAAGCTACCATCATAACCATTAAAAGTAATATAGAACAAAGAAAATAATCTCTAATAAAATTAACTCTAGGATCAAAGTCAAGTCTTTACTATGTGGGGCTTTCCATCTCTGGGGAAAGGGGTAGAGCAAGTTTCCTATGCTCTTTCTTAGAGATTGGAGACCTTCAATCAACAGGCTGGATTGGCCTGCCTCCTTACCCAGGACAGCTCTCAATTCACTTAATCTCTTGCATTTCTAGAGCCAAATTGCAGTGGGAGCCTATTCCCCAGTGCTTCATCATGAAAGAATTGCTCACTGAAATGATCACATAGTTGGGTCATTTCGCAGGAAAACTGCCTGCATTAGTGAGCCAGCCTAAACATCCCTGCGACCTCCAGATACACGAATAAGTATACCTGCCCAGTCACATTAATCATCTCATTTCCCAGGGAAATCACAACCTAGAGTATTCAAAAAGCTTTCCAAAAGCACTGAGCTATTTCTTGCTGGTGTCCTATTTCTCATTTTTGAAATGAGTAGAGCAGAAATCAGTGGAATGACTACATCAGGTAATTGAGATTTTAAATGGTTTTGGCTGAGGAAAACTGGCCTGCCAGAGCTGATTTGCAGTTCAGGGAGAAAGATGAAGGAAGCATGAAGGACAATGGTCTTTACCCTGGTTCTGAAATGAATTCTGTTTAGTCACAAACCTTCATGGGAAAACACCTGTATCTCCCTCTTCCCTGGTTTCTCAGTGAAATACAGCATTTCCCTTAAGCATGAATGTAGGTGAAAAATCATGTTATTACTGGCAATTTCTAAGACTTTTTCAACAAGAGAAATCAACACCTTATTACATCACAGTACAGATTTTATGTTTACCCTTATTACATCAAAATATATTACCCAATGCACCACTCTATCCAGCTATGAAGCAATAAAGCAACACAATTAAATTAGATTTTTGAAAATATAATCGATTTTCAGTTAATCTTACCTATTGAAATTTATTTTTAAAATGTTTCTAAAAGAGTTTCAGTTTTCACTGAGATTCAAAGGAATCCAAGGTACAAAGAATGTTAAGAAATCCTTGGGGGGGGGGTTGGAGAGATGGCTCAGTGATTAAGAGTCTGGGTGCTCTTCCCAAGGACTAGAACTCAATTCCATACCCACAGTAGCTCACAACCATCTATTAATTAACTCTAGTTCCAGAGGCTCCAACACTGTCTTTCTAACCTCCAAGGACATCAGGCACACAAGTGGTATAGACATATAAGCAGACAAATATGCCCATACACATTAAAATTTAAACCAGTAAGCATTAAAAAAGAAAAGGAATCCTTGGGGAAGTCAGTATTGAGACAGGAACTCAGGAAATTAGAGCAGGAGGATCACAAGTTCAGGGCCTCCCTGGGCTACAGAGTTCAACATTTAGCCTGCACAAACTTAGAAACCATTATGATTCAAACTAAAGAAAGGATGGATACATACATACATACACACACATACATACATTCACTACCAGTACTGGATTTGTAGGGTGGTGGGCAGATATCCTGGGGAAAATCTTCCACAAAGTGAAACCTAAATTTAAATAGCACACCTAAAACCAAGTCTAGAGGTGCATGTCCATAATCCTAGCCTCAGGAGGTAGAGACCAAAGAATCTGAAGTTCAAGGTCATTCATGGGGTACATAGTGAATTTAAGGACAACCTGGGATACTTAAGTTCTGATTTCAAAAAAAAAAAAAATTGCCTGGCTATGGAATCTTCAGGCACATTTTAACCTTGGACTGCTGGCTGACCCATTCAGTGATATCAACATCTTATTCACTACCGTTTTTGATACTCAGCAAGATAACAGAAATGTGTATGGCTTATTTAAAAGCATATTAATATTAGTTATTATTTGGTACAAAGACACTGGACAGGAGCTAGAGTAATGGCTGTCAGTTAAGGGCACTTGATGCTCTTGTAGAGAACCTGGATTTGGTTCTCTACCTGTACACAGCTACCTGTAACTTCAGTTCCAGAAGATCTACCTCTCTCTTCTGGCTTAGGTACATACCTTGTGTACATTCATGTACACAGGCACTCACACATACACATAAAAAAGTAAGGCTTTAAGAAAAGACACTAGACAACAGGGTGATCAAAGACCAGGTGTTTCTTCAAGGTCACATAGCAACTCCTACATAATAATGAGTATCAGACACTGCCAACCAACAGGCTTCTGTTGCACCAAAAGATATTGTCCCAAGAGGGATACTAAGTAGCTATTGTCACAATGAAAATCAGCAACTACTGTTGCCTTGTCTGAGCAAGTCTTGCCAGAGAGAAACATTTCAGTCGGAATAAAATGGTTAGGAAATAACCATACTATGTGAGCAGCTCCTCTTAAGAGCTTCAGAGAGTCGGCAACACAGATCATAGCATACATCTTTCTCTTCCCTCTCTCAGGAGTACAGGATAAAAACTGATCGATTTATTGACAGACAAAAAATACACTCCTGCAGCAGCAATAGTTAGAGAAAGCAAGGACATGACACTATTCAAATTACACATGAAGGACAGCTCTTTTTTTTTTTTTTTTTTTTTTTTTAATATCAGCAGTGCTCTAGCACAGTAAAAACACCACCAACCCAGCTTTCCCTTGGCCCAGTTGGATCAGTTTTATAAACATTCAATCACATTTCCAAGGGAAAGCAGCACTTCATATCTCAATAAATCAATTCTTAGTATCTGCTGTGTTGAATAGAATTTAAACACTATGTGTATTTGTTTTGTCTTTCAGTAAAAAGCTAGGACACCATAATATATTCCACTGTTAAAGTAAACTTTCACACTGCACAACACTACTCACTAAGAAAAATAGCATGCTGGATCATTAGCATTTCTTCAAAGGGCAGCCAAAGGAAGGGTGGATTTTAGCTAGTGGGGGGGGGGGGTGGAGGGGTGGATCAGTTTGCATGTTTCCATATTAAAATATGAAATCCTCCTTCAGCAAATACAAAGAAACTAGTCTGAATTTTTTTTCACTTATGATAAACTCAACACCGCTTCCTTTATTTCCTCCCAAATGTATCTTCCAAGTAGCCTTGCATAACCTTACCCTCTTCATTTCTACCATTTGGCTTAGCAGGAACTGAGTCACCAGAAATATGAGTAGATCTGTGGTTGTGGCCTCAAGTTACTCTTCAGGAACCAACCAACCAGGTCATGCCTCCCATTAATAATATATCCCAAGAGCTGACATACTTGTTTTCTTTGCTAAAATGAAGCAAAAATTGAACTGGTTGTGGTGCAAGCTCAGGTCTCAGGAAGGTTCCAGGCAAGCCTGGTCTCCAACATAACAAGCTCCAGGTTAGACTGAGCTACTTTGTCTCAAATGTAAAAAATAGCAGGGGGAGCAATTGGCCCCAACTAATAGTTTAAGTTGCATCAGTACATCCATTTTCTATCCTCCACAATGACAATATACAAAGCCTTTCAAGAATTACAGAAGGATCTGGATGGAGAAGTGTCTACTAGTCTATTTTTAACCTATCCATGTACCAAAAAAATACTGTTGAACTACTAATTTTAACATGAGTCTGAACTCCTTTTTTTATGTTACGTATTATTTCTTCTTCCATGTCAATCTAATCAAACAGGCAAAAGCCTACCCTCATTTTTAAGATCATTTTGTACACCCTTTATCATTTGTTCCTATCTTAGGAGGAACAATGAAAGAATGTTCAGTGTTGACCCTGACTCCATCTCACTAAATATTACATTTTCAATGCCTTGCTTACTGTAAAAAAAGATACCATAAATGAGCAATTCCACTGATATAGTATAAATCTTTTATACAAACAATACAGAAGACAACTCAAATTGAAAAGATCATTACCCATAATACAATACCAAGTTGATGTTCATATGCACTTTATTTTTTATTTTTTTTTTTTTTATTTTTTATTTTTTTTATTTTTTTTTTTTTGATACAGGCTTTCTTTATGTAGCTTTGGCTGCACTGGAACCCACTCTGTAGAACAGGCTGACCTCAAACTCACAGAGAGCCTCTGCCTGCCCAGTGCCAGGATTAAAGATGTGCACCACCACCATCTGACCATATGCACTTTCTTAAGAGTTCCTAAGTTGTTTGTTTTATCACAGGAGTACATGAACTTTATTATGCATCTGCACATCCTGCAGTCTTCTCAAAGTCTCATAGAAGCTAACTCAAAGCCTTTTTTTATATTTACATGTAATTCATCAGCAAGACTGGTAATAGGAATAATCTTTTGACTCTCAATTTTTCAGTCAAGCAAAAACCTTCTGCTGTTCTCAGAACTACTTTATAGTGCAGAGGTGGCCAAAAAGGCCATGGATCATTCACCACTGTGATAATGTAATGAAGACACTACTACAATTCACAAAGGCCCCAAGGGGTTTTACAAAGACATTAGTTCAGTCCAGAACATACCATCAGGGTAAGAAAGGAAAATGGGCTGAAATAAAGTGACAAAACACATGAAAGGTCTCTTTGTAATTTTAATTGAAGCACTGCTAATCACTTAAGTCTTTTTTAAAAGCACCAAATTTTAATATCTAAATCAATTTATCAATTTGGGGGTGGGGAGGAGAAACACTATCAGGAACTTCTCTCCAAAACAATGATGTTCATTCCTCCACATGTCCAAATTAAAGTCTACTGAAACCAAGACTAAAAACCCAAACCCCACACAGAGAAAACAAAGATACTAAAATCACATTCTAGGGGGTCAGTGCATTCCGCAGTCTTTGCTGGGCTGTCTAATTGTCCTTCAGCTGACTTTCAAAAATTAACACCCTAGCTCATCAAAATATACATTTTTCCCATTGGCTTTTTTAAATTAAAAGTAACAATTACAAACAAAATAAAAACACTTGAAGGAATTCATGACCAGTTGCCTGACTCAATTGATGGCATATAGGGTTTATGGAAGTCAGGAAGGTGGCTTGCAGGAAACAACATTCAGGGGATTCTCATCTTTAAGGCTTAGCTTTCTTCCAAACAGTGTAAAATACCCACCTGGACAGGGAGTCAAGGAATAAGTAAAGTCATTCAAGGAGGAGCAGGTACCACTTACAAACTGGAAGATGGGACAGAGATCTATGAGCGTAAGTTGAACACTGTGCGGAGGGGACAAAGGGCTTTCAAACAAGGCCACTCTGTAGCATGGGATATCCACAATCTGGGACATCTGACACTTGGGATAAAAACTGAAGTACACTCAGTTCTGTCAGCTAACACTGTTGCTTATGCTCTCTCTGCTCGGGAGGTCTCCAAATGTTTAGCGAATCAGTATGAGAAGAATGAATAAGGGACAAATGGATAGGAGTAAAGGAAAGGGGCAAAAAAGCAGGGAAAACTGAAAGAGTAGAAGAGAAGGTAAAGAGATCTAGGACCCAGAAGTCTTCTCCACTTATCCCTATTTCTCAAAGCTCTAAGCATGAAAAGAACATTCTTAAAGGGAGCAGTGGAGATGGAAGAGATATTAAATCTCCACAAGTCACTGAAGGGCTCAGCTGCCCAGAAAGCAGAGAGTCCTGCTCTTTGGGCAGAGGATTTAGGCAGTTCTTGTCTCTTACTAGGCATCCCGCTTCAACAGCCTACATGCCCCAGCTAATAGCCTGCCCCAGGGCCAGCAGTGTTGCTAGGTCTCCCTGATAGCATGGAAGAAATCTGGACTCAGCTTGCAGCAGAGGAAGCAGATGATTACAGACTATAGTTTATCACAAATGTGGCTAGTCTTGCTAGCTGGCTTACTCTGGGGAGCTACCATTTTCCCTTTCATATGCTAAAATGACAGGTGGGCCATTAAGCTTTTATGTGGATTTCTGGGAACTCAACCCACTTCTCAAAGTCCCCTGGAGGACTGAGGAAACAAGCCATTAGGCCCCACCTCTACGTTCTGATTGGGGCATTATGGACGAATTTGTATATCTAAGTAGTTCCCAGGTGACTTCCCTGGTTAGGGCCCATCTTTGGCAATCATTGTTGTAGATCAGTGGGACTTAATGATTAAGGGTCCCAGGAAAAGTCCCAGTTAAGTTTGAAACTCAGGGTTTATATACTACAGAGCGAATTCTGTTTGTTGTTGTGATTAATAATGGCAGCATGTGGTATACTTAGATGTTCTGAAAAGGCAGCACATAATGTCATGATCAAAGGATACAATTCCAAGTATGAAGGGACACAGACAATCTCTTTTGAGAATTCCACAGGACAATACAGGCGCCCCAGCTGTTCTTCATAGAGCGACAGGGCTTCGGTCAAATTGACACAATTCCCCTAAATCAGAGAGAAAAGCAAACAATGGGATTTCTAAGTCATACTCATTTGAAGATCTCTAATAAAGGGAGAACTGGAGCTTGAGATAAAAGTTCATCTTTAAAAATGAGATAAGGCCTCTATACTTCCACAAAATTGCACTGAATTCTATTTATGTATTCATTAGTTCATTCTCTTTCTACTTCATTTACAGAGTTATTTCAAATTATCAGAGTATGAAGCAATAGAAAGCAATGAGGCCAATTTCTCATTAGTGACATAGTTCATTGTATCCACACCATGCAGTTTAGCATATTCATCCACATTACCCACTCAAAGTAAAATTTTTGTCAGTAACAGTCACAACTGTGTTGAAACTGAAATAATCAAAATATTCTTGCTTTCCACGATTTAAACTACACCCCTTCTTTAAAAGTTCTGACACAGAACTGTATTCATACCTCATCCTTTTCTCAAAATTTAATGATTTTAAAGTGTATTATTCTGTGTAAGCATGATGTATGCATGTGCTACTACGTGAATGACAGTCTGAAGATACTTTGTGGGATCAGTTCTCTCCACCTTTTTACATGGATTCTGGTAATCAAACTCAGGTCGTAAGGCTATTATCCACTGAGCCACATTAGCCCTCTGTGACTAATTTTTAAGGAATAACATACTGATACCATTTATTAGATTCCAAAGAGCAAAGAACAATGTGAGATGAAAACTTCACAAAAGTAGCCTATGATGCCAGAATTTCTGAGAGCAGCCTTTTTAAAGCAAGCATCCCAGCAAGCCAGCCATGGAAAGGGGTTAGAGCTATTCCAAAAGATGGCCTTAGTGGTTTTAACTTAGCACATTCACTTAGCACAACGTCATCCTGTTTCGTACCAGCCTGTTTAATAACCCCATCATCTAGGGACCTGCAGTGGGATTTAGCCAAAGTGCCCTTCACCAGCATATAATTTGGTTCCAACATCAAGTTCACCATGAGAGCATACAAACACCACACATGTAATTTACAATTCATAAATAGAAAACACTGTGCAGTTGTTTTTAGAACACATCACCACTAGGGAATCTATATAGAACAGAAATGCCATCAAGGTGTACAGCTGAATGGTTGTCTGCCATCTTAAAACTGACACCCTGCTGTGTGTTTAAAGAGGACATATGGGAGGGCCAGACCTCCTTACTGAGAATGTGGTACAAAAATTGAAAGGTTTCAATTTGTTCTTTCCCAACACTGTCAAGAAGCAGTTTTTCAAAAGAAAGAGGGAAAGAAGAAACTCCACAAATAGATACCTGCCCAAAAAGGAACATGATAAATTTGACTTTCTTGTCTACACAAATAGAACATGTTTTTTTTTATTTTCTTTTTTTAAAAAACATACATCAGAGTTCCAAAACAAAACTCAAAAGCAAAAAAAAAAAAAAAAAAAAAATAATCACCCATCATTTCTCAGCAGCTGTGGTTCAAGAAAATTCTCCATTTCTCACATAAATTTAAGCAACACTTGCTGTTTATAGGCTTTTGTTATTATTTTTGTAATATAAACCGTTATCTGCAGCTTTCTTATTATGGTTCAAAAGTAAGCAAATCTAGCTGGGTGTGGTTGGCATACACCTTAAATGCAAGCAATCAGGAAGCAGAGGCAGGTGGATCTCTGTGTTAAACACCAGCTAGCCTGCTCCATACAACCAATTCCAGGACAACCAAGGCTGCATAGTGAGACTCTGCCTCAAAAATTTGGGAGGGGGAGGGGGAGAAGACAAAGATAGTTAACAACACTTAACTGTTCTTTTCTTCTAAAGGACCCAAGTTCATTACTCAGTACCCACATTGGACAGCTCACAACGGCCTGACAGTGTGACATAATACCTCTAGTCTCTCAGGTCATCTGCATTCATGTGCACATACCCACACATTAACCACACACACATATGCACATAATTAAAATCTTTAAAAGCAAGCAAAATGAAACAATAACAAATTAACACTTTTGTAAACTACAAAATGCAAAAGCTTTTGAGAATAGATACTAAAGGGCAGGAAAGATGGCTCAGTGGTTAAGAACTTATTGCCCACGCAGAGTACCTGGGTTCAGATTCAGGCACCCTAATTGGGCAGCTCATAACCACAAACAAATCAGCTCCAGGGGATCTGACCTCAGTGTCCTTGGAGGGTACTTGCACTCACAGGCACAATTACACACACACACACACACTAATTTTTCTGGCTTTTGGTTCATGAGACAAGGTCTCTTTGTGTAGCCCTGGCTGTTCTAGAACTTTCTACATAGACCAGATTGGCCTCTGACACATAGAACTTCACCTGCTTCTGCCCCCCAAGTGCTGGGATTAAAGGCCTGTGCCGCTATGCCCAGCTGACATCTTCAAAAGATAAGCTGACAGTAAATGGGCAGTGAAAAACACACCCTGGGAATACAGACACTCGAGAGTTCAGTTTTCTGGACTCATGTCAGGGGACTCACACACACTTCTAACTCCAGCTGCAGGGATTCTAACACCGTCTTCTGGACCCAGAAAGAACCCGCACTTACACACACATAATTAGAAACAAAGTAAAAGTAAATGAACATTTCAAATGATGCTAATGATGGATTACTCCCAGAAAATGGTAAAGTTTTATCAAGGATTATCAATGTCTAAAGAGTACGAGATTATGGAACAGTTAGTTTCACTGTAGCTTACATACCCATTTTTGTATGTACCAGTCTATTATTGTTTTAACTAAGGGGTTACACAGAAGATAAATGTTCAAGTCCAAGAACCTTACTTGTCTCTCAAAAATACACATTCCCAAGTTCTGTGGCAAGATAACAAGGCTGTCTTGAAGCACCCAGAGTGAAGCCACTGACATTACAAGTTTGTCACTGTGACACAGCAATGTGTTGATGGGAACAATCAGTTTTTGAAAATCCTTGTATAACATCCTCATCCCACCATTAACCTTCTCCATTTTTTTTCTACTACAGACTCCAACCAAAGGCAGAAGAGGAATAAATGGCAAGAATCAAGTGTTACCATCTGAACATATCATTAGGTAGAAAAAACAACAACAACAACAACAACAAAAAGCATAAGCAGAGTCTAAGGGTATAAGACAATGGTAGAACTATCTAGCATGCAAGAATTCGCCACAAAAATTAATAAACGAATGAATAAGTAATGGATGAATGGATGGATGGTGGTGACTACAGCTTCCTGCAAGGCTTATGCCCCTAAACACAAAAACGACCACCCCCAGGGTATCACAAAATGGAATAAACATTGTTTCTCCACTTGCAGATCATGTGCATAGTGATATCTTTTATATAATTCTTGGCAAAGAACACAGCTTTGGACTTAAGATCTGGAGGTTTAAAAAGAAACAGTTCACAAAAGCAAGTTATCCAAGTTCGAGTCATTACTATTTGCACATGCTGTATTCTCATGGAACACTTCTATTAGTTACCCAGTTTCCCTATAGCAAACAAGGCCAAAAGTATCATAATTTCTAATGGCACCTTCCAGCTACTCCAAACTGACTGCTTCACAGATGATCCATATTTAAATCCCTTTGCCTCATCCTTGCAGGTAGTTGGGATTTTGCAGGCAAATGGCACCCATGCCTAGCTTGTTTTCAGTCTCTGTACTTGAGCAGAGGAAGCCATGCATGAATGTAGTCCTTGGTGAATACGTACTGTTGACATGGGCATGCCTCGGCCCCATGGAAATGGAAAAGCCTTCCCCAGGTGAGACTCAAAGAGATGGCAATACTGTCCTTGGGGGTTTTAGTGCTAGTGATTGATCAATGTGTACAAAACTAGCAACAAATTCCTCCTCCCAGATGTTCACAATCTGAGACTGTTCCCCTATAGATTCCTCCTACCAAGATGACCTAAATTCTTTTTCCCTATGCTCTACATAAATAAACACAGTGAGGTTCTAAGTTGCTTGCAGCAATTTGCTCAATTCTATCAGAGTATGCATAGCCTACCTGACCCCAGATTTTCCACGCAGAGGTATCCTGTTCTTTCTTTTCATCATTTTTTTCACTACTCCTAGTCAAAGTTCCAGACAAAACCCATGAAGATCCTGTCAAGTCTCTATTTGGTTATAAGACCCTAGAGCCTCATGTTTCCTCAATTAACCTACATGAGACTTCATTCTAGAGATAGGGGAATACAATAAACACGCTCCACAAAAGTCCAACTCACTGACTCTGCATTGCTTTCATAGTACAAACCCTCACCATCAACTCCCTACATAAAACAGAGGCCTGGAAACTTCCTCCATAAAGGGCTAAGTATATGACATTTTAGACAGCACAGACTATGAGGCCTCCCTAGCAATACTCTTCACTGCTCCTGAAGCACAAATTCCATGGCTGTTTATCAAGAAAATACAAACAGAGCAGCAGGCAGCAACATTTGTCCCACAATGTGTAGACCCTTCCTTTAAGCCACCATGTGCCCACATTACATGCAATAGAAAGAGGAGGAAAACAGGACAAACTGGAGCTTTAGCTGTCTTGGGTATTCCAAGTCCTTTCTGGCATTATTCTTCTCAGATCCCATGAAGTAGCCAGAACAGACTACTAGAGTCTGCAAATGATTGCTTCCACAGCACAAAAAAAAAAAGATCCCTACATATTCTGGATGTTTAATAATCAATAATCTTTAAAAGCAGTTCATCAATTGATACTAAGTAACAATTGGACAGGAATAAGAAATTCTGCCATGCAATTTCACAGTATAAGGTGACTATACTGTGACTATAACAATGATTCTGCACTGTACACTTTAAAATGCTAGAGGAAAGGAGCTGAATGTTTTCTCCACAAACACATGATACATATTAAGAGAATATGTGTGCTTAACCTGATTATAAAAAAGACAATGTATACATACAGCTAAACATCAAATGGTAAGACTGTAAATGATCATTTTTATGCTTTTATAGATCCGTCAAAAGGAAATTCATGTTAAAATTGAAACCAGCCTAGTTGATGCATCTACAATACAATTCCTGAACCTAAGACTCAGGAAACATCACTAAAAAAATTTTTAACAGAGGAACGAAAAATCTATTGTGACCCAGTGTCTACTAGAAGTGCTTTGGAAGCCATACCCATGATACTTCAACAATATGGCTGCCAAAATAATGCCTGAATGAGGATGCCATTAATAGACATGATGATGTGGAAGGGAGAGATTTCATGGAGAATAACCCTACACAAAGAACTACAGGCAACTAAGGAATATTGAAAGCGGAAGAAATAGTCTT